GATGCGGCTCTGCCGGCGGGTGCGGGCCAGCGCCATCGCCCAGGACGCCGACCAGAACTATGACTACGCCAGCAACAGCGTGGTGCTGCACCTGGACTCCGGCGACGAGGTGTACGTCAAGCTGGACGGTGGCAAGGCGCACGGTGGCAACAACAACAAATACAGCACTTTCTCTGGCTTCCTTTTGTACCCCGACTGAGGAGAGAACGGGGCAGCGCGGTGCCTCTGAGTCAGCCGCTGTGCGCGGGGCTGCCGAGCATCTGCGTGCCCCACTGTGCCCACCGTCTCCACAGGTCACTTTAGCTTCGGTACCATTTTGTACGTATGTCCTTTTTTTTTTTTTTTTCCTCTTTCTCTCTCTCTTTTTTTTTTTTTTTTTTTGGAAGTGAAACACTGAGTGAAAGAAAGCGATCCCCTTCCTTATCCCCCCCTCCTTCCCCAGAGCCCCCCTTTGCGGCATGCTGCACGCACCACGCTGGAAGCTCGGCATCCCGAAACTCCGGCGTGGTTCCCTCTGTGTGCAGGAGTCCAGAGCTCAAATGTGCCGCATGCTGAATTTGATCTGGTCAGATTTGTGTCAATGAATATTAATCATAGTGGTGAATTTTCAGGTTGATTATTCATGAAGTGGGACTGGATCATAACTAGTTCTTCCTCTGCTGCTTTGTTTGTATGGGATCAAGTGTAAACTTTTCCTTTCTGTGCAATTCAATGCTCGTGTGAATGATAATGTCATTAACGTCAAAACTGTTCTTGTCTGCAAAACAATTCAGTCGTTGACCGCAGTCACACACACACAAAAATTGCATTAAATTATGTTTTTAGACACTGGTTTCTTGCTGTGTGACTCTTCTAGGGCTGCAAAGGAGGACTGTTGTGGTGCCATGGGTGGGGGGGAGGTAAGGACGGGGGTCACTTCCATCCTTCAGGTTTGCAGCAAAATTAAATTAGGGCAAGGAATCCTGTGTAGGTCTTAAATATTGTTCAAGTGTGCTGAGAAAAAACAGGGAGAGGAAAAAAGCCTCATTTGATGCAGTTTTATAAAGGGAAGACACACAATCATGCAGAGCTGAAAGCACATGTATGTAATGCTGATCCAGAGGTTACTCAAGTCCAGGGAAGAGTCCCTCTTTAATTAGTTGTAATTATGGAAAGCAGTGCTTTAGCAGGATACTTGACAAACTGAAGAAGGCAGGAGTGGAGATAGTCTGCCCAAGCACCTGGGCTGTACAGTGCCTGTATGCGTTTGAAACGGTGTCTGACTGTGTGGGGTCTGCATGCACAGTCCCCCCTGATAGGCTCAGAACTGTACATGATGCTATTTACAGTTTTAAGGAATGTGTAGTGAAGTGACACTGGGATTTACCAAAGACCAGCAGAAGAAAACCCGGGACCTTTTCACAGTTTAAATCTGTCAGTTGTCAATGAGCTTTCTTCCAGAGTCTATTTGTGGTGGAGGAGGTTATTCTTGTGTAGAAGACAGGAAAAATAATTTTGAGTAAACCAGGGTTGCTCTATTGAAGCTAAAAGAGCCAAGCTGATTTACAAAAGCTAATCCACTCATTTGCTCTCATTTTCATTTTATTGTCTCATCATTTCATTTTTCCCTTGCCAAGGTCTTTCCTCCTTGTCAGCTCACTGCCTTTGCAGTGTTGCTACACCTTCCCGGAAACGGAAGGAGCTGGACTGCCATGTTTTGCTGAGACTGGAGCTTTGCCCCTGTTCTTAACTTTACTGAAGCCAAGGGAATCACAGCTGGGATGAACCTGTTCCAGCACTTCAGGGTAGCCCAGTAATTACCAACTTCTTAAAAATCTCTTCTGTCTCCTGCCTAGTCCTCGATGAGTGTTGTCTGCTCGTTGGCTGGAAGAGGAGGGTCACAGACTGCCCTGCTAAAAGAGAGAGCAATCCTCCCCTCATCCCATCCTCAAACATCTCCCAGCCGAGGGAAGCAGAGTTCATAACCAGGTACATGTGTTAGACACTTACCAATCTCTAATGTCTTGTCGATTTGTACCATTTAGAATATGATTAAAAACAGTATCTGAGACCCAAATGTAGTATAATTGGTATGGATCCTTGATTCCCAGTGGATCTGTAATCCTTTTTGACTGTTCCTCCCCTTCCTTCCGCCGAAATGGAGCTTAGACACAAAGCCCTCCGTTTAAATTTCAAAAAATTAAAATTGACATGCAGCAGCATTACCAGGAGCCAGGAGGAATTCTAAGGAGGTGCCTGGGCTCTGCTTTATCCTTTGCATTAAGAAGCAATTTGTACTTCTAACAAAGACCCAACTGTTCCCCCTTGGCAAAAGGGCAATGAAGATGCCTTGCAAGGGAATTGCTGTTCACAATACTTAAACAAATTTGAATCTTAGATTTTTAAATCTGTATTCCCTAGTGGAGCCTGCTCCTCGCAATTCAAATGCAGGACTGGCGGTGTGTGCCTGCCAAGGTGTCAGGAGCTAAGCGGATGATGGATTGATGAGGCAATGGGAAGACACAGGCTCGTGGTGGCAGTTTGCCCCGACAGTGATCTATGTATCTGCACATTATCAATGTCATGAGGAGGCTTGAACCACCCAAGCTCCATGTCTCATTTTGCACTTATGTCTTATGTACTAATTATCGGGCAGGATTATTCTCTGGGATAGAAACAACAACAAAAAAAATGCTCCTCACCACTCCAGTGACAGTTTACACAATCGATAGAATGATCATCTCCTCCCCAGGCTGCTCTTGGGCTTTTTCTGGTTTTCCTTTCTATAGCAGTGACCTACAGGATTGTCTTGGCAGGGGGTTGATGGCTCCCACCCAGCCCTCTCCCCATGGTGCTGCTTGGGCAGGCTTGTCCTCCCCAGTCATTGTGGTAGAATTTCAGTGCACAAGTTGTTTTTTTCTTAAGTAACCCGGGGAAAGCAAGCGAGAGATTGAAAACTTCAGTGCTTGGTGGTGCAGCTGTTCAGAAAACCAGGGGCAGGGCTGCCCACAGGAATGGCAGTGCCAGGCTGCCTTCCTTGGGGTTTGCATGGCTGCTTCGGTGTGTGAGAGCGGGGTCACCGCAGCCTGGCAGGGAGGTGACACCTGTGGCAGCCTTGTCACACCTGCAGTGGGACTGTGCCCTTCTCAGTGAAGAGCCTCTAGGTTGGTCCAGCTGTTAAATATGTTTTATGGCACAAGCAGAAGGGCTCTTTGTGGGTGGGAGGTGGTTTTTGTAGGGATGTCTCGATCCCATGATTTGGATCAGAGGAGAATTGCTTTGTACTCAGACACTGGCTTCAGCTTGCTCTCTGTCCAGATTTTCCCAAATACTGGCAACTCAAACAGGCATTTGCCTGTGATGTCTGTGGAGACCTAGCCCTTCGGGTGCTCATGGAGTGACTCTGTTTTACTTATTGAGTAGAACAAATGCTTTTAAAAACAGTGAGATGATCGGGTATGATGTGAACGAGGAAAGCTCTCCGAAAGGAGAATGGATGTTCAGAGCTCCAGACAAAGGTTACTTCTATTTTGCGCCAAGCTGTATGTTCAGATTATTCAAAAAAAAAAAAAAAAAAAAGCCCTGGAGTCTGTGCTTTTAAAGCAACAAATCCCCAAGTTTTGTGCTACCGATGTGAATCCTCGACCCTGGACTGAGGTCTGAATTCCTATCATGCCTAACCAGCACTGGTCGTAGAAGGGACCTCTAGAAAAGAGAGGAACAGGAAGCCTCCCAAGTGTATAAAACACTGGGAAAGCTGAAATGGGGATGCAACAAATGTCGCTGCCCCTTGTCTGCAACCATTCCCTGGAGGAAGGACCCAGGTTCTCCTGCTCTCCCACAAGCCTTGTGGTTGAGCAGCTCTCCAGGGAGATGGGCGAGGAAATCCTGCGCAGGCTTGAGTTTCTGCCAGGCAGATGCAGAAGGAGTTTTCTGGGAATGTCCGTGGTGCTTGTGTGGCAGGAGCGGTTGGTGTCTGATTTCTCCTGCAGTTTTTTAGAATCTGGGCTTACAGGCTTTCCCTTTGATGCTCATCACCTTGCAGGGTCAGGCCAGGGGTGATGGAGCAGCGGTGCCCAGCAGCGGGGTAGGAGAACCCCTCTTGGCTCTGCTTTTTTCCCTTTTCCTGACAGAACAGCAAAGTGCTACTTTTTTTGTGCTACCTTACAGTTTTAAGCATGTACATTGAGTGTCTCTCTGCTCTCAAGCTTACTGTTTTTGAAACTTGATCTGGATGATTTAATATTTGCTTGTCTCTCTTTACGCTTGTGTGCTTGGGTTGATTTTAATCTGTGAACTCTCAAAGTGGAGAGGATGTGTTTGATGAGTGTTCATGTGGTCCCTGTCTGGTTATGCCATAGACTAATTATATTAAAGGGGACCTTTGGAGGACAGAGGCAAAGTTGTATGCAATCTTATTTTAAATCTATTTATATTAAATACCTTTCTGTTGTAAAAGAGGCTATTTTTTCCCTTATTCCGATGGGACCAAGCCCTGGGGAAAAATCAGGCTAAGATCTTGTGGTGAGTATAGTTTCTGGGATAAAAGAGCCTGTCAGAATAAAATAAGCAGTAACTGAATCTTCACTGACTTTGAGACTCGAAAGAGTTTGGCTCCTTTTACCGTGAATTTCTGTGTCATGCAGAGACTTGGCAGCTTAATTACAGAAGAGGGCCAGGTAACCTGCTGCCGCATGGACACCTGGCACTTGTGGGTGAGAGCCTGCGCTCAACAGGCTTCACACCTCAGGTCAGACAGAGGTCCAGCTTAGCTACAAGCTGTGAACAACATGCAAAAGGGAGACCCTTTCTCCAGACCAAGTCTGGAGAAATGAATTTCTTTGTGTAAACTGAGAAGTTCATTCCGTGATTGTTACATTGCAGGGACCACAGCAGAAGTGGGGGAGCTGTTTTACTGTGTCTTTTCAGACTTCTCCTCTCCCTTGAGCGTATCGAAGTTAGTTTTTCCAAGCTGCATGAGAAATTAAAGCAAATGTCTGTTCGGCCCTACAAACATCTAAATGTAAGGGATTTGATCACTGAGAACACGCCGGTGAAGCCTGCAGGTTGACCTGGCTGTGCTTAGTCTCTTTGCTAGCTTAATCTGTGCTTAGTCTCTTTGCTTAGCTTAGTCTGTGCTTAGTCTCTTTGCTAGCTTAATGTGTGGCAGGTCTTGAGGAACAGGGAGGTCAGTGAGTCTGAAATACGAAGTGGTTGTTT